CTGGTGCCTATCGAGGAGCCCGTCGGCACGTCCTACCTCATGCCATCCGACCATCATTATTCAGCCCCGGAGTTAGTAATCTGTCACCAGACTAATCTGGGAGTATGGGAGATTCCATTTGTGCCTTGAAAAAGCGATGAAAATTCTGCAACCAAAACGGAGCACTCCTGCCTTTCTAATCAATTGCTCTAAGAAATTTCTTAGCGGGTGGAACTCTTTTCTTCATTGTTACACCATCCGGACTTGGAACCTAAGCGTCATCAGGATCTCCGAGTAACATTGGAAAATTCAATCCATTCAATATTTTTCAACGTGCAGGAAGCCATGATGGGCGATATCATGAAATCACCGCATGCCATTATAGAATTCAAGAACCACTTGAGAGAGAACGACTCCCATCGGCTCAGCCGTCTAATTTCATCAGCAGACAGATTGGAGTCACCTGGTAGTCAGTTCCATAATGAAATAGATTACATCATTTCCAATCATTTGATCAACGTCAAAAACTTTATCCTTTTAGCGGTAATAGCAATAAGTATGTACGTAGGCGAGAAGTGGTGAATAGTGAATCAGGAAAACGGTCGTAAGCTGGCCGACAGGTAATCTCGTTGTGATTAGAGGTAAAAATGGAACAAGTAAGCTGGATTGCATTAGATTTTATGAATAGCATATTGAATAATCGCTAATCTTATCTTTGAGCAAAGAAACGATGCCTGTATACTTACTTTGAAATGAAGGATGAAGGATAAAGTCTTGGAGCACTAAACAATCCCTTCAAAGGGATGCGCCCCGTATTCGACTTCTATTCAGAATCGTAGTGGTGTATTAAATGCGTATGTGTCCTATGCAATGATTTCCGATGGCCAGCCGATGAACAAGTCACTGCTTTTATCCTCCCAGACGATCTGGTACTAATTAACCGAACCAGAGGGATGGAAGGCTTGGACGGCGGCGGTTCAGAACTCGAATCGGTGACCATGCGTGTGTGAAGTGCGCACTTGTCACTGCACCACCTCTGCAATTACTTTGGAATACAAAGGTTTAATGTAGCGATTTGCAATGCCAAGGAGCCGCTTCATTGAATCCATCTATTCCAGAGAAGATAACCAGGAGCTATATAGCTTCAGAGAGTAATATCCAATACTCGAGATGTAGCTGGCATGAATACCAGTATTTTGATTCAAAAGTTAGAATCATAGGCAGAGCAGTGAATGATGTGTTTGTAGACTTTCTTCGACTTTTATTCGGTATTCTCGAGATGTCTGTCTGTCCATATACTTTGTACTTTGTTTCTCCTACGCTGGACTTCACTACGCTTGGTATTCACTTAGAAAAAAGAATACAACAACGTAAGGGTTGCCTTTCAGGAACAGCGCAGCTTTCACAATAAAGCGAAAATCAATTGAGCGACAGCTCTAATAGTAAATTCATATTCTTGAAATTAAAAGGTTTCTGCAGTTGAACAGGCGCGTTCAATTATTTCAACCAAACTCGCTCACCCCTCAAGACAAAATCCCAGTTGCCGTACCGCGGACCTTGCATAGTTCCGCCCAGAAGCGAAAGTTCAGTGGCAAGGAGGTATATTACTGAGTCATCCTGCGTGGGGCGATTTTGGAGATACGCCTGGTTTATTGCGTCATTCTGCATCCTCCCAAGCAGTTTCAACCCATCCGCTCCGAGTGGTGGGAGAGAGACCGGTTCTTTTTCTCCGCAAGTAGGCAATTCACGCCAAAGCGACTGCGTCTCTGTTTGTCTGGAGTATTTCGGGCCCCGTGCGTGATCTTTTGGACTACTACGGTTTACTTGGAGGCACAGTTCACGATAATTTCGGGCTACTCAGTTTGAGACGGGTAATGGAAGAGATAGTTCGGAATGGTGCAAAAGTTGTGAAGAAAACGAGAAAGTTGACGTATTCAGAGAAGTATAAGCCTTCAAAAAGAAGTGAAATCAAGGGTTGGACGAGAATTTTTGGACGGGCAGACGAGAAATTTTCGAAAAAAGCTGCATGGAAGTGGAGCTTTGGACGAGCTGTTCGAGTGTGCGTCATTACATACAGCTGGCTGCAATCGCTGCCTGAGTGCAAGGTGTGGGTTCCGGTGCGAATAGTGCAACCTTTACAGCTTTTACAACGCTTGACAACTCGTCCGCCTTGGGTGTGTACGTCGGCTAAGCCGGTTTGTTGGGAGTTCTTATTACGCCCTATCTCGTCTGTTTTTCGACCCGACAGCGTTCCTTAGGCTATCCTTGGGGGTCACACAGGTTTCTAGGGAGGGATCTCAGAAACCATTTTTGATGTGAACTACGTCTTTAATCAAAAGCAGCAAAAGCAGCTGACCACGTAGCAGGTGTAGCAGTGATTGCAGGTGGAATGAAGTGGCGTATGCCTTTCAGCAACCTGACAACATTATAATACTCAGGATTGGATTGCGACACTCCAATACGGTTCCTTGCAGAATACAAGATTTTAAGAGGGACCAGTGATATCCATGTTCAAATTGGGCTGCATGCAGCGCTACCCAAACTACTCAAAAAGCATAAAGAATGTATAGGACTTCAAAGTCGAAAACGAGTGAACGACAAACAAGCGAGCTAATCACCGACGTGCCAATCCATCTTAGCCTTGTCACTTCCGTAAAGAGGTTGATTTCAGCATTATTCTACTTCCTTTCAAATCAGTTACAAGAGGAATAGTGTTAGAGGATCTGAGGAAGACGAGAACGAGCAAAAAGAGAAGGGAAACGCAGTGAAAGCGCGAGAAAAGCTGTTTCGCCACATTCGTCGCCATCATTGTCGTCGGCACGATTCCATAGCCACAAAACTGGATTTCTCCCGTTCCCCATACCCTCACGGACGGCACCCTTACGTGCACACCGTCATTAATCGTTCTATACGTTGCCGCAGTAAAAGAAAAAAAAAACTTGGTATGTGACGGTGGGTGACCGTGAAAGGAACTTGTGTTCACTGAGACGAGCTCTTCAGAACTTCCTTCTTCGACAAGTCAAGTTACCGCTCGCGATTTCCCCCAGTTTCTGCAATGGGAATATCTCTTCGGAAGGCGAGACAACCAAATGACTGAGTTGGCAATACACGCGATATTCGCTAGGTATTTGCCTTCCACTCAAAATCGCAGAGACAACCCAACTCGTATTTGCCCTTAAACAGTTCCCGATGGTAGTTCAAATTTGAGCCAGCATGGCCTCAAGATTTACTCGATCGTAAAGCGACACTTCTGTGCGATGAAATTAATCTCATCCCAAGAGATGTGCTAGGAGGGAAGCTGGTGTAGTGGCAAGTGGCGCACGATCTCCCACGGGTGGTCACGAGTTCAAAACCCGGATGGATATCCGCCTGGGCCAACCGAAACTTCCATCCCTCCGGTGTAGGTTGACTGGTACCAGAATCATCTGAGAGGATAAAAGCACTAACTTGTAAAGCGGCTGGCTACCGCAAATCATTGTATAGTCCACATACGCATTCAATACGCCACTATGACTCTGAATGAAAGTCGAATGCATGGCTCATACCTCGGACGGGATTGCTCAACCCCCCCAAAATTTTACCTCCTTTATCCCTTATCCTTTCAAAACGTGTAACTATCTCGAATGTTACCGCTACTTGCTTGATACACAGGTATCTTTCCATCAAATAGTGTCTAATGAAGGGATCAATAAGAAAATCGGGTGGCAAGGAAAGAATAGACTGAAAATCGAGACTCTGTCTATGTTGGTGAGCATTAAGGCTCCATTTTAAATCACCTGCAAATGCGCCTCTTTCATCTAATACACTCCCAGCTCAGCTTTCATTGTTTATATCGATTTCTCCGAGGTGGGCCTTTATTCTTTACAATCCCATTTTTCAATTACATGTAGGCCTTGCGGCCTGCGGTGAGTCACAATATCCCACATTATCGCTTCTGGGATCAAGATAGGGCCGTCTTAGGATTCTTCCCAGACGGCCCTATCATTAATTGAAGGTGTCTGGTGCAATTCAAAACTCGAAGTGTTGATGAAGTGATTCCCTTATTGTATTGGATTAAGCAATTTTCAAACTTTTCTGAGAAATGCTTGCTCTCATTTGTCAATGGGGGAAAGCCGAGTGCTGCTTAGAGAGCAGTATGTGTTTGTCACTTCGAATGAGAATGAGTGAAAGAAAGATTTACGTAGAAGTCGGCTTCTTATAAAGCTGTAAAAAACCAGGTTAAATTTGTTAATGATTCGAGGGAAAAAAGGAATGGAGCAGAGATAGACAGCCTGGGAGCAACTCTTTTCATCCGCCTTGGCAGAATTGTCGTCGCCCAAATCGATTCGTCTTTTTTCAACTCTTCCATGAAATTTTGGCGACGTTTAGGTGGCGTTCTAGGAACTGCTTCCTGCCCTGTTTCCCAAAGAATTGCCCTGTCTCCCTCAATATCATTAATAATCAATAAATACAAAAAGCGAGGAATTCACCTTGGGCGATAATTCACTCATTTCAACACTATACAGCTAACAAACACGTCATGCATAGCGAAATGTAAGAATAAGAAAGACAGAGTAGAAATATAATTAAGGCAAGGTTGATTACTTGCCGGAATATCCTATTTTCCAAGTTAGGTCAGCCCTTATTGCCAGCCAGCCCACATAAGAAATCCTCAGTGCTTGACATTCGGATATTTCAAGGAGAAAAAAGAAAATATTTATCATCGGTCCGACAGAAGACTTGATCCGAAAACTTGAATCAAAAATCAATCACGCAACGACGACTCCCCGAAAATGCAGACAGAAAGAGATTGGGAAAGGGTATGGTTCTCGTTCTAACCGTCCGTCATAATAGGCGGAGATGACTCCACCCATTTCTTATGCGATCTTCGGTTTCCTCGCCTCTTTCCCCCGCAAGTAGCAGCAACTCGCTCCTTATAAGTTTTTTTTATAACACGCAGTGAGTGCAGAACAGCATTTGAACATTCATACGAACGAAGTAGAGATATTACACTGACACTCGACATCAAGAAACTCGTTTCATTAGGTGCTGTACGAGAATCCAAGATTAGGTCGCTTTACTGTCGCATCAGCAGACATCGGGTCGGATGGATCCTGATTTGCTGCTGGAGACGGTCGAGCAAGTGCTGATTTAACATCCGGATCTTCCGGATCGGCCAACTGAATCTCAGCCATCTGAATACTCGATTCCTCTGCTTCCGCTTCTGAAATAAATTGTTTCAGTTTAAAGGATCGTCACAGTATTACACGCTAACCCAACCAAACACATGGAACATTTTTCTTCATCGACTAAAACGAATTAAATTCAAAAAAGTGCACTTTTCAGCGACAAATGTAAAAATGCATTTGTCACAGAAAATCTGACTTCCGCATCACCACCCAGTAGCATAGATATGTATAATATGATGAGGAATAGCGCATATGACAGTTCACTGGACTCACAGGGCCTGTTGGTTAATTTGTCTAGCATTTTTGGGAAAATCTATGCTGAACTCATGAAGAACAGCTTCCTCCCAATAATGAATCGCAGCCTTCGCTCAGCCTAAGGGAAACATCGGAAATAGCTTCCGCGATGTAAATTCGTTCCAACCTTTTCAGAACGCCTTATTTCGTAAACATACCGCTGGTGCAAGATTTTGGAGTGCTGGTTCTGCACTTTGGACAGGAAAAAAGTGAAATGACACTTCATAGCGGAGTTCATCATTTCGTCTGAAACTCGTATCTGGTTCCTGGGATGGAATTGCTTTCATGCTATTGAAATGACAGCATTATTCGGGAAGCACTATGTACCCATTGGTAAGCACTTTTCCTGGCAACTTATGGCATCTCATTACAGAGTGTTGAAGAGAGCAGGGTCCCTCGCAGTGTGAGCAAGAAGCGAAGAAAAGCTGACCTCAGTTATAATTGTCGCATCTCCAAGTGATGTGAACACCAACAGCACAGTAACGCCAACAATAACTAATCTGAGCACTTTGAGAAGCGCCCCGCAAGTTTCCCGATATTCTACGGATGCTATTTAGTAGTATCGGGCGGAATCCCCTTGTCTCATGAAGAACAAGAGACAATCACTACTCCTGCTGTGCTACAGAAGTGATGCTCTTGTGCAACTCTATGAACTTCGAAATTGCGTGCCTGCCTCCCATCTCGCCGCCTGTGGCCCTTCCAATTTCGGACGTTCCAGGGCTCTGGGTTCAGGGGGACATGAGGTATAAACTTCCGGGCACACATACGCATACTCATCCAGCCATGGCGGATTATATATAGCCGCTGTAATTGTGGAAACCAGAAGAAATCAGTATTGTCGAGCTTAGCAAAATGACTAGATTGGCTTTCGTAAATGGCATTAGGTAGTATGAGATTAACACACTCTAATGCTTCTTATTGCTCGAGCTAGTAAGGAGTCATACCAGTCGCTGGATCGAAGGGCTGTGCAATGAATTACCGGAGGCTTTTCCCCGAAACTGATATTACGGTACTCAGTGGAGAAACAGTCTTTGCGATATACGCTAATCTAGTACCATTCAGAAAAAATATAAATTTTGTATTTTGACCTCATAAGAGGCCAATCCCACAAAGGGTAGAAGAATAACATGAAAGCATCTCTCTTGATAGACCGGACCATTTCAGTAGACCCTTAGGGTAACCGAGAGCTGCGGATAGTCAAAAGGACGGTCTAAAGTTTTTTTTACAACCGTTGAACTCACTTTCACTAACACAGCGCCATGGCTTCAATCGGATACAGCGGCTCGACGTGCTTATCTGTTCGCCAGAACCCTTTACCACACGAAGAAAGGTTTCCGCAACTTTGTTTCCATAATCACTTCGCAGGTTTGGAATGTTGGTTTGAGTTCAGCTTTCGAATACACACCAGTTCCTTACGAATGTCCACTGCGAACTAGTTTGCTTACTTTCTAAACTAGTTTTGTGATTTCTGGCTTTCGTCTTTCTCCTTTCTTCCCCCCCCCCCCCCCTCTGTCTCCCTCCATCTGTGAACTAACGCTATGAGCTTTAAAAATCAGCAGTCCTATTGAAGACTTGATTATCGGACGAGTCATCAACTAGGCGGTTAACATCGATAGCACAGTTTGCGGAAAAATAATTTCAGAGATATCTTATTGGCATAGGCTTTTTCAGTAGATTGTTGTCAAGCTTGACCATAAAACCAACCTCACCTACAGCTTCGCCATAGGAGGGATATAGGTGCAATTCGCGATTTTTCGAGCTTTACTGGTTGCTCGAAGAGTAATAGCGGTTTTTGAAGCGGAGTTTTCAAATCCTTCTCTGAGAAGCTTATCAGAGCTTTAACACTTTTACAATTTTTGAGAGAAAGAAAGAGAATTCCATTTCAAGCAGTTTTAGGAGCAGTTTGAACATGAAGTAGTCAGGAGGAGTATTTTCAGCTCATTTTACTTTTATACTTCTTCGTGGCAAAAGGCTCGGTAATGTTTCCATGACATATGAGAAACATGAGCTGACTATGCCTCATCGCAGGCGCATGTGAAAACTGGTTTACAATTTTTTTTCTTACAATTTTACACATCAGGGTAGGCTGCCCAGTATGGATGTGGGCATTGATGATGAAATTTCATTGGCATTGACCGAAACTGAACCGAACTCAAGTAATGGTACAAGATGTTGCTGAGAAGACCAGCACATTCATTGGAATATTGGTTTTCTTTGCTTGAACTCATTTGAATAGTTTATGAGCATAATTGAACTAAATAAATTTCAAAAAACTTGGACCAATGAAGACGTTAATGGATGTTCATCTGCCATATAAGTTAAGGGAGATTCACTTGACGCTGCAAGTTAATAACTCCAAGTTGCACTCTAGACGCAATGAAGACCACCCATTCTTGAAGCGGATGGTGGCTGGCTGTAGACAAAATTCGGAAAGTTTTTGATAAAGTTACTCACAAAGGATTATGGGGCAACACCGGATGAAGCTGCTCAAACAAAGTCCAAGGCTTTTTTTCAAAAGAAATCATGCTAACAATTTGTTAGAGCTACAAGAGTTCGATGTAGTTTGAAGCGAATTCCAAGAACCACAATGTCAGTTTGGTCCTCCACTCATTGGAACATGAGCAAGCAATTTAAAAAAGCCCCCAAAAATAGCGAGTCGCAGAGGCATAGTGTTGCATCAAGACGAGACAGGACCGCATACATTTTTGACGACTCGGCAAAGATTATCGAAGAAGGGTTGAAAATTAATGCTGTGTCAGCCAAATAGCGCTGATCTCGCGCCATCTAAACACCACTTATTTTAGCCATTGCAGAACTTCTTGAACGAGAAAAGCTGAGGAGGTGAGTAATCAAATCTTATGTAGTTCAGTGTTTCTTCCGGAAAAATAAACCAGAAATTCTCAATAAAATCACAAGAAGGATAGCAAAGGATAAGAGGATAAAGGACAAAGTCTTCTGGCGTTAATGAACCACGTCTGAAGGATGCGCCCCCGCATTCGACTTCCATTCAAAATGGTAGTGGCGTAATGAGGGCGTATGTGGCCTATACAATGACTTGCGATGTCCAGCCGATGTACATGTCTGTGCTTTTATCCTCCCACACGAGTCTGGTATCAATTCACCGACCCCGAGGGGATGGAAGGCTTGGTTGGCCTAGGCGGGCATCGATCCGGGATTCGAACCCCTGATCGTGCGTGTGAGATAGTACGCCACTTGCCACTACACCACCTCCGCCCATAGCAAACGATAATCGATCTGAATAGGTTTTATATGACCATGACTCCTTAATAGGAGGCATTTTTTCGAAACGCTCAAAAATCGTAATCACTTTCGAACAACCAATAGTTTGAATGAAATAGTGGAAGTAATGGTGCAAGCGCAATGGTGGCGTCGAGAACGCTTAGACCGGCGGATTTGAAGAATATCGTACGTACGAGTCCATGGCGATAGAAGCGGCAAGGTGGGTTATTTGGGTGAGATGGCAGTTGGAAATAGGATAGAGAGCTGGCTATAGAGGTCACAATTACAACATTTGCCTTCTGGTCGCATTTACACTAGTGATGGCATAGTTCATAGTATAAAAACGGTTCTTTTGAAAAAAAAAAACCTATGATCGCTAAGCGACCTAATGGACGGTGTTCTAATAGCCCCCTTCTAAATGATGCAGCCGTAACAAGGTCGTCATAACACGGCCACTTTTGTATGTGTAAGTCAGGAGAGACGGGCAGTAGGAACGGCTTTGTGCAATCGATCCCCCGCATGCGGCTGTCGCGGACCATTCGGCCTCATTGTAACAGCTCAATCTTTCCTCATACAGCTCAATCGCTATGCGATTATTCCTTCATGATTCTACTGTTAGTTCTTTTGTTCCTGCATTTCTTACTTGCTGCTGTAGCTGTTGTTTTTGCTACATTCTCTCGCGCGCGGCGCCTCTTTTGCCGCGACGCGACAGTTTCGTTTCTACTGCACCACACCCGTAAGACAGCTTTGCAGTCATACCGGTTTTGCAGCCCATATTGCGTCCTATATGAGCGGTTATGCGGTCCGACTATGTCCCATGTGCTATCCTTAGAGCCATCAGATTCATAATATAGGATAATTTCAAAAACCATCTTTATCACAAAGTGTGTCTTTTATCCTATTACGTTCGGTGATGGCTGAAATGCAAGACGTCTCTCTCGCCTCCTTCATCTTTCGAGGCGTTTATACGAACCCGCTTTCCGATGGAAAGCAAATACAGATTCACATGAGTCTTTAATAGAGTGGAAGATACCATTCTCAATTCTCACTTACCAATACGACTGTTACATTTATCGGTCATTAACGTTCCCGTGGAACCGTTACTCTCATCGTTCATCACTTCCGCCAACATTGGGCTACTGTTTAACGAAGATAAACTGTGAGTTATGCCGCCGTCCGTGTAGTCCAGCGTTAAGCCGCTCGCTGACGAATCTATGATCATTCGTGGAAAGCTATCTGTCGTTGTCGCTGTCGCGACGCCATTCTCGCACGTCGACATACACATTGAAGGCTCCTTCACGGGCTGCCGAAGACTGCCGAGGAAGTTTGCTAGAGAATTCTTTCTGGACATCTGAATAGATTTGACCGTTTACAACAAACGGAAGGTAAACAGTAGTCAAACCTTTCGGCCGTCACCATGCAGACTCAACTTAGAACTCGATCTACTGAACGATCCTAGGCGGGACCGGCTCGTTGTGTCCGCGCTGGAACAAAGTTGTTCAGTTTTTTGAGTGAGCTAATGAATGGTTCCTTTTGAATCATTGGCTTGAACCAAATAATATACATATCGGTATGTATCGGTTAAATCAACCACATGAGGGGTAGCCCAGAGCAGAGGGTCCGCCCAAAAGAGCACGTTGTTGGGAGCGGCGTTTTCATCGAACAGGAGACCGACATTACTTGCGTTCATCAACACTTATCGTTTGGTCTTGATTAATGTCTAAAAAGCATTTAAGCCCTTTGGATCGCTCGGGCCGGAGAAGTCATGAAAGCCCCGTAGTTGGATATTGTAATTCCACCACAGTTCCATCACAAAATTACGATGAATGTAAATTTATCGATGCATCGGCTAGAACCAAGGCTTGAAAAAGCCAAACTGACTCACTTCCTTACTGGCACTATCCTCTCAATAGTAGAGAAGCGCCTACGAAGAACTGAATCGCTTGGGTGGCTCCTCTGAAGGGGTACCATACGGATTTGAGACACGGACTTGTCCAGCCTAAAGGAACTGTGATCTACCACTCATTAAACTTTTGTTAGAGAACGTAATGGCCTGAAACATTTACACGACCTGAAAATCGACATGCTCATGAGAGTTGATTAATGGAATTGATTCAATCAGATCCTACTCGTTAATCTTCTGCAGTAGTGTTTCACATAATATCGCTTCATTTGCACGCTATTCAAAAGTACGGATATGTTTATTATACGCTGACATGGCTACGCAAAATATCAATGTAGTGGGAAGGATCGAATAATCTTCCGTTGGGTCCGACTATCGACATCCATTCTCAGAGAAAAATGCCTTTCAATATGCATTTCATTCGCTGAACCTAATCGTATAGCCGTCAGTTCGAATTTGCTTTTTATGGGTGACTAACCTGGTCCTTGCTGTGGGTTGGATGTGAAAAACAACAGAGTCGTAGATGATAACGAGGCCCAGCTCTCTGCAATCCTGAATCCTTCCTTACGCACTATGATGTAGAACTCTCGTATCTGACGGGTGCTCAGCACCAAGTTCCCTGTGCATAGTGCCCAGGAATTCAAGTATGCAGAAGGAAGAGAAGTCAGAAGCGAACATCAGCGAAGGAGAAAAAATAGATATTGAAGTAGACGCCATCGTATCGGCCTTGGTCTGGAACACTTCCGGTTTCCCATTCTCAAAGGCACAGTTCACGATAACTGTTAGGTACCTTTTTATTTTGAAACGTGGAAGTGTTGATGTAGAGGAGTACATTGGTAGCAAAGAAACCGAGAAAATCCCCCTACTTCAACTCTTTTTAAAAGTAGTGGGAGTGGAGGATGTTCGAGTTCACCGTAACGGGAATGGCATGTAAGGGGTGTTTGGACGAGATTTAATTGCTTCCATTGTGCAAAGAGATGACTACATCAAGCATGGTATGAATAGGAGCCTTGCACGAATACCAGAGACCATTTTTTATATCGTGAACTGTGCCTTTAACTTTTCGATGAAAATCGTTTCGTCCCTGCATTTTTTATATATTTTGCATCGTATTTCGGTACCGTTACTGTGTGGCTTTTTATGTTTTCTCGGAAACATAACCTTGTGAGGAAAAAACATAACCGGCTTCTCAATCAATGACTATAGTAAGAGAGAAATCAGTTAGGTAACTTGATCTCACATCAAAAAGATTGCATTGCTCCCTGCATTGGACCAGAGTATGCTATCGCATGATTTCGGAGCTCTAGAGAACGACAAAACGTATGATGGCTGAAAAATACGCAAATATGTATGTACTGATAATGAGCTAAAGTGGGGTAGTAGCAAGTGGCGCAATAAGACACACGCTTGGTCTAAGAGCGAATTTCGGATAGAAACTGCTACCGGCTAATCAAGCAATCCATCTCTCATCAGTTTTGATCAACTGGTACCAGAATTATGTGGGAGGACAAAAGTCCTGACTTGCACATCGTCTGGCCATCGCGATTTCATCGTGTAGGCCACAGACTCATTCAAAACACCACTACAATGCTGAACGGAAGTCGAATGCATATACCGAACGCCAATGCTAGGACTTGATCCCTCTAATTCATGTTCTCATCTTTGAAATAATATGTTTTGCGTGTAACGAGATAGGCTTCCCATCAAAAATACAAGCTAACGGAAAAACTGATCGTTGAACCATATGTGACTTACTTGATATGACTTAGCGATCCTTCATGTTGAGTGTACTTTTTCTCCCATGCGCTTTCCTCCGAATACAATGGAACCCATTCATCATCCCAAAATGCATCTTTCTTCAGCTCGGGTGTTTTTCCGTAACCGTCGTCGACAATTTTCAAGCCCATCTACAAGAAATCGAAAGAATTCTCATTTATCTAGCCATTATTACAGTCAAACATGCAAACACACTCCACTCGATGCTTCCTTTTCGAGTTGCCGCTAACTATCCTTTCATATAAAACCGGTACTGGACAGTGGAAGGTGGCGAACTAATATGCAGGGAGCTTCGCGCCTGCCGACACTACACACCACCACCTTGTCTTCCTTTCATCTCCGATAAAGTCAGCGCTGCACTACAGCAGAGCATTTTCAGAACTGGCCTGCAAGATGCTGTCCGGTTGGTGGACATTCCTAACAGCAGAATCAAGCAACAGTTAGTTCGAAAAACCAGCTCTACGATAAGCAGTGCTTGGCAAACGGCTGTACCTTATGTCCCTACGGGAAAGCAGGTGTTTGCGCACTGATAGGCGTGATCTACCAGCTAGGATGTAGGGCATGTGGATTAACTTATATCGGTGAGAAAGGAAGACTAGCTATACGTATAAGAGCACATCTATCTAGTACGAGGCTCAAGAACCTTATGACAGCGCTCGGTCGACATAAAATTGAGGAACACAGAAGTGAAAGTTTNGTGGACATTCTTAACAGCAAAATCAAGCAACAGTTAGTTCGAAAAACCAGCTCTACGATAAGCAGTGCTTGGCAAACGGCTGTACCTTATGTCCCTACGGGAAAGCAGGTGTTTGCGCACTGATAGGCGTGATCTACCAGCTAGGATGTAGGGCATGTGGATTAACTTATATCGGTGAGAAAGGAAGACTAGCTATACGTATAAGAGCACATCTATCTAGTACGAGGCTCAAGAACCTTATGACAGCGCTCGGTCGACATAAAATTGAGGAACACAGAAGTGAAAATTTNTCGTAAGGATTCCAAAACCTTACAGACTTTGGGGAAAGCGCTATGACAGAAAGAGCAACTAATGACTTATCTAAGGAACACAATATGTCGATTAGTCTGAATGGACAACCGCTAAAATTTGAATTCATATGGCGCGTGCGTGGGAACGGCCAGAACTTTCCTTACAACCTAATACGAGGCTCAAGAACCTTATGACAGCGCTCGGTCGACATAAAATTGAGGAACACAGAAGTGAAAGTTTCGAAGTGAAGTGCACGATATTCGCGTAGGAGACGGAAATATCAGCAAGAAAGGCGTTAGAAGCGTTCTGGATTCTTCAAAGGAATTCCAAAATGAACAGCAGAGATGGGTCTCCGTTCATAGCTGGTGACTTTTTCATTCTTGCCACTCTGTGAGCTATGACTCATGGTCAGTAGCTCACGGTAGGGTCTCTCTTATCATAAGTATAAGGGAGACATCAAGCAGTCTCAATCGCTTCTGACAGTTGCCTGTGGCAACAGTGGACTCCATCGCTTTGACGGTTGAGCCTGGTGAGTATTCCATGAAGTTGGAAGTTTCAATGAATTTGGATCGTAGGTAGTTCTTGCTAGAGGGGATAAACGCTGTTGGATATTGTAAATCAACTCGAGATGCGCATAGGCCGCTGAAGACGACGATCACGTCGAAACATTAGGCCGTTAATTTGATAAAGAGTTCCAACTAAAAACCTCGCACAGCGCAAGACTGTTTTAACCATAGACAATCTCCAGAGCTAGACAACTTTTGGAGAAGAATCAAGAAAACGCAGGCCGTTTTACCTGGCCTGGAGAGAGCGTCACCGATCCACGCAGCTCCTTCGCCTCCATTGCACTATTTTCCATCTTATCTTCCATTTTTCGTCATAATCTAGGTTACCCAAAATTATCGTGAACTGCGCCTTTAAGCTAAGGGCGATGCCTCTTGGTTCGAAGGTGATAGAAACGAATATGTTACAATGGACGGCCGGGTTGCTGGTTTAAACTTTATTCGTAATGATATAATGAGGGCACATTTCACTGTAATTCCGCTGCAGATGAGCAAGCGAAGCATGCCTTTCTTGAATAACTGTCACAACCACGCGCAGACAAAAATAGTGTGTGCAAGGTAGCTTCGACGTGCCAGGAAAACGGTCCCAGGGAGTCTCAATTACTGCTTTCTTGATAACTTGCATGAGGACTTGGAATGGGTTGGACTTCATCCCCACCAAGCATTAGGTTGAGAAAAGTAGCGTCAATACCCTAGAAAACAAACCCTTCTTTCAAAAAAACGAACGCTGTCGAAAAAGAAGAACACATGGGATCGAACACATTTTCGAGCTAACCATTAGCTTTCCAAAACAGACGCAGAGAAAATGCCGTCTTAGATCAGATGGGCGAACAAATTATGTTCCTATTACATGTATGATCCTAAACAGGTCCTAGCAATCATGCTTTTGAATCGTTACAGGGTGAACAGTAGGAGTTTATTAGTTAGCCCAATAAGTATCCTACTTTATATAATTCGCTAAGTGTGTCTGTTGGTGTGTCTGTGTGTGTGTGTCGGTGTGTGTGTTTGACCGCAAATTCATAACTCCTGTTCCCGTGGACCTAGAAAGCTCAAAAATTGTAGGAGTACAGGGGGCAGCATAAGAACACTTATGGCAGGTAGCATGACCAGACTCCGCCCACAGGGAGCGGGGCGTGCGCGATAGAAATTTTAGGTCGCAAATTCATAACTCCTGTTCCAGTGGACCCAAAGCGTTCAATTTTGGCAGAAGTACAGGGGAGAAGCATAAGAACACTTATGGCAGGTGGTAGGACCGGACTCCGCTCACAGGGGGCGGGGCGTGCGCGGTAGAAATTTTAGGTCGCAAATTCGTAACTCCTGTTTACGTGGACCTAGAGAGTTTAAATTCGGTAGGAATACGGGAAAAGGATGGGAACACTCATGGCAGGTAACAGGAGCAGACTCAGCCTACAGGGGGCGGGGTTTGTGCAGAGCAAACATTTGAGCGGAAATTCGTAACTTCTGTTTCTGTGGACCTAAAGAGTTCAAATATGGTAAGATTACAGCTTTTCGTATTAACAGTGGAACCTCGGCTTTTCAATAAGTGGTGTAGGATATGACGGAATCCTAGGTATTCGGTGACAAGAACCGTTAATAACTGATAAAAGAAGATAAGGGGCCTAAGAGAGCAAGTGCACCTGCCGACCGAAATCCTAACGCCTTCGGTATTTACGAGGTAGCTTTGGCTGTTCAGTATGTTTCATTCGATAAGATGAGATGGTAGAGTAGGGTGACAAAAGGAGTTTTAAGTGCAGTTATAGGGACCCATATGCGGCATTACGATATGCAGACTGGAATTTCGTTCATTTCTTGCTATTAGATTACGACCGCTACACAGCAAAGCTTGTTACTTGATGGAGGATCCTCATTATTCATTATCATTTTCGACAAAATTAACCGACCGCCAGTTATTTGGAACTCTTAACTAATGTTATCTCTGTGAAGTAAAAGGTTCATTGATAACATCTGATAATGGTGTTATCATCACACGAAGTATTTGCAAGTACCGCCCAAGGCTTTGGTTACCTAATAGTTAGTCTTTACTGGGCATTTATCTTCAAGAACGAGAGCAAAAGATCGGGACTCTCAATTCAAGACCTAAGTACCGACTTTCACTGAATACCAATACCCTGTTGGTCCTGTGTCAAACTTCGTGTACAGGAAAATATTATTTGCTTCGAAGAAGGCGTGGAGAGTTTATTTATTTATTTATTTGAACACACCCAAGGGTGCGCCGTACAATATAAAAGCCGAGTTAGCCGATTACTACAACTTTGTCAAAGAAGGAGTTGAGCCGGGCGTTAGCCAAGCGAACCGACTTTACATAAGAAGGAGGATGCCCGGCGCTAGCCGAGCAATCCTACTTTAATTATAATACAGAAAAAAATCGCTCCTCATTCGGAGCTAATACTGAGGGTGTAGAGCTTCCAAAGAAAAAGGAGAATCCGAAGAGTTATTTACGCATAGCAAACTTCTTACAGGAAGAGGGAGCGCCCGGCGAAGCCGGGCGACACCATAAGAGAGGGAAGCCCGTCGTTAGCCGGGCGGCCCGACGGGTCCACTGATAAGTGCTGAACTGTGTCCAATGAGTGTTCATTGAACCCACTTCCAGATGTCGCTCCATTCATGTACTTTACTGATTTATGAGATGTCCCACTGCGAAAAAGAGTTTGATAATCGTTGTTTGCTCAATCATGGTGCAATCCATATTGACTTTTGCTGTTTACCGGAACTCCATATTTCGTAATCTATGTTACATGAGCGCTGTCGTTAACAGCAAGGAGCGTCCTGTTTCATGTGTTGCCAACTCAACCTACTTCTATCACTACCTTTCTCGTGGTGTCGGTACTTCTCCCTGAATTCCCACGCCAAGCGGCAGTGTTCCGTGGTGGTTACCGTATCCTTCCATGGGAAATCAAACCTCCTAATTTACGGTTGCGAAGGAATTTACAACATCCTTCGCAACCGGTGCGGCAGTTCTGATTCGATTTCTGGGGAGAAGCTAATACACCCTATAATGAAAGTCCTAGCCTTTTTCGAACAATAATAATAGTTTATCAACTGGAGAGAAATTTAGTCTAAATGAGGTCCCTTTGCAGATCCTTACACTCATTTGTCGGGGAGCTGGCCTAGTTAGTTGGCTGCTGACCTCTCTGCCATTCTCAGTTTTAAAGTAAGAGTGACTTTTTAGGAGGTAAAATTCTACCCTCTTAGTATCGCATAATTGCACAATAACATGAAAAAATGTTAAAATTCAAGATGTCATGTCATCACAGCATTAAACTACTTAGCCTCATCAGCGATAAATATAGATATATTTTTGAAGACTTCGAAAAAAGATGAGGAAGGTAGCTCTCGGTTAACTAGTAATGCCTTCTGCACGCGATGTCAGGAGAGTGAGGTTTGCATAAATCTTCCTATTTTCCGTCACATTTCGAATGGGCGCATTCATACTAGTTGGCGTGGATGGCACCCCGGTGCGACACCCCATCCAGGTGCCGTCCCTGGCACCTAGCAGCGTCGTCATAGACTGTTTCCGGGGATGGCACCTAGGTGTCGTCGATGGCACCTAGTATAAATGCGCTGAATGTAACGAAATTTCCGGATAATAGAAATGATATTAGTTCAGTGGCAGATGTCAGCAGTCATCCAGTTGGACGAGATCACCTCATAGGCCCACTTCTTAACTCTGCTCGACTCATATGAGAAAATTCACCGCTAAATTTCGGTCAATGAGCACGTTCGTTTCGAAGTCGTCGTCATCTTCACCCCAAGGGTTGAGCAAAGCCTCGGCCACCTAAATATTTCGTTGAAATTCTCGACTGAATCAAAATGACTTCATTCAATCATGCCTAAAATCAGGTTTTACAGATGTAAAAAATGAATACTGCATATATGAATTACTCAAGAGTTAGCAGTCAGAAAACGACGTACCTTCAGCCATCCCATGTAAAGTACAAATTGAATGCTGGTCATGAAGGGGAAAACCATATCGATCTCAAATAAAATCTCGTTCAATTGATGAAAAGAAAATGTCAGATCCACCAAACAGATTTATGAGTGCTTTCAATGCCTTTTTTTGGAGCCTCGTGGGAGTGCAGTATAAAGGTAAGGTATGGAGGAAATAGGTGCAAAACGAAAGGTTCATCTTTTTACTTCTGACTGTCGAGTTTCAAATAAGGCCGGTGCAGCCAGCTTCTTCGTATTTCGAAACTACCACTGCTCTGCATTATTAGTTTTGTTTTCTACCAGACAATCGGCTGACTAACGCAGAGCTCCTTCTCCCTGAATGGCGAGGTCCTGGCCGACTCTTTTTGGACGAAGATACATTTCATTTTACAAACTTCAACAATGGAATTTTCGAAATTATGTGGGGGCGCTCGCGAATGGATCTAAATCCCAAAAGCTGCCGGACAAGTTTTTTGCGTAGCTATCTAATTTTGCAATGTGACTATCTGGTTTTCGGAGAACTTTATCCGCGGTCAAACTTATTCCCGAGGCTATTTACACTCGTCTTTGCGGTGCCCAGTCATCATACAGATCAACAAAAAATATGGTATCATACATACCATATTTTTTGTTGATCTGTATGATGTATGCATAAGGCTAAGAGCGGGTAAGGTAAAGGAAAAGCCAGAGAATGTTCGCTAAGAGAACGAATGTTCATTTTTATGGTCGCGTTAGAATAGCAAGGATGGAGCAAAACCTTTCGCAATCAGGACCAACAGTTCTTGGCAATCACATGACGTTGACTTCGCTACATCAACCTTGGCAAAAACACAAAAAAGAGCGATTCCTATGGTATGCCTTCACCCACATGGGAGATGAATACTCCTAGAATTGAGTTGATGCGCCAATGGTCAGGTGGTTTGAGGTCGGAATCACACAATGGAAGAATCCCAAGTCGAAGTGTCCATTTGAAGTAAGACTTATACTGCTTTAGGTACTTCCGGATGCTTATTTCAAATATTCTTCCCAAATTCGTCGTACAATTCACTTAGCGAAGTAATGAAGATGATTTCAGGTGAGTGCTTAATGCGAACAAGCATTAAGACATGGATGTGGCAGAGCTATCAGCGGTGATATGAAGCAGTGATGAGCGTGGCGCTTCATATGCTTGAGACCCAAGGACGGGAAAACTTTTGCATGCCGGTTTCACCACCTTCAGCAACTTTTTGATGACTGAAGTGATTCGGTCCCTACAATATCACTACTGACTCATTGTCTACTTACATACATATGTACATAATTTTCTCTGCGTGGTCTCTGAAGAAAATGCACTTCAATCAGCACTGTATCTGCATCTGTTTCCTGTTTGATAAATCTTTCAAAAACATCACCACACATGAGGTGTTCAAGATCTCAAGTTTTGCGTGCATACTCTACTCCCCGCTCATTATTGCTTGTCCCTTTCAATTCCATTTTGCTGAATTTAGATGATTTATCTTTTGCTCTAGCATGCTGCTGGCTTCTTAAGCACTCATTCAGGTGATAACGTTTTATCCTCCGATATAAATGAGCAACATGATTAGTCGATCGATTTCGCTTGCTGATGTTGTTGACTGATGATAACACCATCATCAGGAGTCGTTATCTATGACCCTTTTTATCTTTGTGGATATAGACCTCCAATGAGGAACCCAGGTTATTAGAATTCGGATAAGTTCAGACAACTGATATCGGACTTGAGGGGAGCGTGACTCTTCAAGGAATCGCGGATAACCTGAGCGCTGGACATTGTGTTGTGTAGGGACCAGAGGTGCTTCATTAACAATCGCAGTAATACAAATTAAACTTCCACGCATCATAGCGGGGTGTTTCATAACGCTTCCATCTACCAGTTCAAGTGTCGGGGGCACCCCTTACTGTTATCTCATTTTGAAGAAAAAAAAAACGAGAGGAGCAAAAAGTGGATAGGTGCGTTCTTCGCCAACCGGCTCGCGGGTCGGCGTGCGTTTAGCCCATTTTAACGCCTTCGGTTAGCTTTTTCAGCATTGCTTATTTCATGTAGGTACGATTTCGACTTCCACATTTTCGATTGCTTCTTAGATACTCGCCTTCGTGACGAAGTTTTTAAATGACATTCCTAGCTAAATTCCCTCTCCTAGCTCATGAGAGCAAGCCGTTGTAGTACAATAATAGCGAATGTCTGAAAAATCTTGAGAAGCACCAACGAAGCGTAATAAAGCACTCACTGAGTCGCTTTCCAGTGTGGATCCTTCCACGTACTGCCTAGCCACTACTCCTACGAGGAAGTAGGTGTGAACGGCTAGGCAAACGATTGTTGGATAAATCATCGGTAAAGGTACCCAGTCATAATTGCACAGCCATGCCAGATCAGTACGAAATTTCTTCACTTCCTGAAATACTGTATTGATCGATTTGGAAAAATGTGACTCCATATTGCCACTGAGGGAATCACGACAGTGAGCAAGTGCACGTACAACAACATTAAAGCAAACTTGGTCCCAAGAATGCAGAAACAAGGTGTTGCAGCTTACACAGGAAGAGGCAGAATCATATGTGCAGAATGTTAGCCGCGGCTTCTGAGGAGCTCTTCATTTTCGAAATGTTGTTTTTTTGTTCCCCTGTGAAATGATCTCAAGCTAGCATTAGAAGTTTGCTTTCCTTCGCGAACGATAAAACCATCTCACCGTATATCTATGGTCACTCGCGCTCTCAAGGATTTCAAACGATCGATGTCTTTCGTTGCTTGGATGTATCAAGAAGTGTTGTTCAGAGAAACGGCCCCTGGCAGATTGCTCTAGTCCCTCGGAACGTGAAAGATCGACCTTTATGATCACGAAGGTAACGCCAGAAGTTAGGCAATAATCTGCGCTTCGATCCGGTATCATTAATTCGAAGAAATGCGAAGGAGTTTTGGTTTTGTTCCGGTTGGTGAGGGACCGCCCGAAAAGGAAGATATACAAGCAAGAAGAACACAAGATGCAAGAAGAATTCTTCTTCTATGACTCAGAAAAACCCGTAAAACACAGATCCTACTTTACTTCGCAACGTTATGGGAATAGCGCACTTGATTACTCGGAACTTTCAGGAGGGTGATTTTATCCGGGCACAGGCAAACTTCAGCCACGGATGATGGTGTTACTAGCAACACGATGTTTCTAGCCCAAAGCCGACGAGCAAATCGCAAGCAAGATTTCTTCGATTTCCTTATTTTTCTCCTCCGTCATCTTCGACGAGTGGTCACCAGATTTTTTTCACCTCAAACTGCTTGATTTGTTTGTATGGAACACACTAAGTAAAGGCTAGGCGAAAATCGTCACCGCAATCTTGATTCTCTGGAGACAGCTTCGCAGAAAGCTTAGAACGAGTTGGATGCCAAGTACCTTTTCGAAACGGTCCAAGTATTTCTCAAGCATCTTCGAGCATCGTCGAGGTGACGTAAAGGTCGATTCAGAATTTGCATTCATTGTAAAGTTTCTTGGAAAGTAAGGTAAAGCTATATTTCCTGTTCCGAGAATAATCCACGTTCACTCACTACGTTTACTTTGCTTCCATTTTTTGCCCTACCCTGTACAGTTTCCTAGATGAAAGAGAGAGTGTAAATGCAGCAACAAACTTCAGGTTTTCGGCTGCTTAAAGACCGTGACCAATTCGAGAAGCAGTGAAAGAACAAACCTCTGAGAGCACGGTCACATAGTAATCGCTTTCTATCATTCCTTCCTGTCTCGCACGATAAATAAGGGCCCATGCCCAATTGAATGGTAAGAAATATTTATTGTAGTTGTACTGTATTCCGTCAAAGTTCTCTTTTTCATGAGGCATCATGAATCCTGAAGCAATTTTTCCTCAATACTTCCATAAATACTGTATTTTACTGTCTTTACATGAGTGTTCCAAGATGTTCGCAGGTGATCTGCATTCAGTGCACTCAGATTGATGAAATCAGTTAGAAAATTTGAAAAAATTTCTGTGGAAATTCTTCGGATTTATCTGATGATATTTTTTTGGAAATAAAAATGATATGAAACCTGCTGCGGCGACGGTATCGAGCGTCGGAAAACGTTTACGGCACCTCATCGACAGGTCGCGGAAAACTAGGACCTTAAAAAAGAGGTGTTAACAGTGTCGCAACAATGAGTATCATGAATGACATCTTGCACTCCTCCTTTTTTTGAGTTTATAGATGTAGCTTACCACCTTGTGATTAATAGATCTCTTCTTAACCGCGATACGCCAACGCCCCCATAAGCCGAGCGCTCCTCCCTGTGAAAAGTCCAGTTCGCAATTAACCGCCCAGCCAATATCAGAAGGCATGCTGTTCCACTTTCCTGTCCCGAAAGACAGAGCCTCACAGTTAGAAAGAGCGGATTCATGAAAATTCCATCAGTTATTCGCAGTCATCGGCTCTATCGATTGATCGATGTCTAAAGGTATCAGTGAGGCAGGGCTCATATCATACCTTCTCCAATCCGAATGTCTCGACATAGAGTATGCTATGCTATGATAAAGCTAGCCCTTCATCAAGTTCCAAACCTTGAGGCGTCCTGATCGAGGGACTGATCGAATTTCGTTCTTCTTTTTGACTTGTCGGACCTTATAGCGACATTCCTTACTACTTTTTTCCAACCTACCCTATCAGTCTGCCCTTCCATATGTAAATTATGGAAAAGTCAAGGTCACATCATAAATAGGAAAGGAGATAGAAAACAAGTGACACATGCCTTCTAAAAGCTCTAATCAGTCGTTATCGTTTTCTGTCGATAACCTTGCATGATTCTATTCACCTCTCTACGCACTCCCTACCCTCCTCCCTCCCTACCGCTTTTTTGCCTACCTACCACACACAGACGCACGGACATACATATGTATGTCATGACACATTATACGTATGAACCAGAATCTGTATTTATTCACATACAAATTTACCTGAGTTAGCTGACAATATCGAACAATATTTCGACGGCATTGGCGAGCTCTTTCATTTGTTCCTCGCACGTACAGCGCAGTCATCAGAGCAATGCTAGAAAAACCTCATGAAACATCTTTTTGGAAAAAACAATTTCAGTCGAGCTTCGCTGCCCATAACAATAAAAGGGAAGAGTTCATTACATAACAAATTTAACAAGGATTAAGGAGTTAAAAAAATCTAATCTTACTTGTCCATAAATCCGATAATGTTGTAGAGATACCAGAACCGCTTCAATACTCCAGCCACGAAAAAACCAAGCATGAGATCGAGTGGAATGTAGGAGAGCCTGGCGTTAGTGAAGTCGACAAGGCAAGTGAACATCCTTGAAGAAGGAGCTGTTTTTAGAACCCTCGGCGATACCAAGATGAAATGTTCATATCAGATTTGTACTTCAGAACGTCTGCAAACTACTATTATTTGAGGTGTAGGTTCTGTCTCAAGGTCTTGTTATAATACCAAAAATAAGTGCTTCTTGGACCTAAACATATTGCCTATTGAATAATGCTACTATATGTAACGCTTCTGTTGGTTTGTCGATGGGTGTGCGCGTGCGTGTGATGTGTGTGTGTGAATGTGTAGAAGTTTTCGTCGACAAATTCATAACTCCTGTGCCTTTGGGCCTACGGCGTTGAACAGCGCATGGTAGGATACTAATGTAGAAGGCAGGATTGGACTCCGCCCGCGTGAGGTGGAGCGTGCGCAATAATCGCTTCCTTGCACGCAGAGTGCTTCCAATCGGGAGGGTTACAGGCCGCAGAATGGAAACAGGAGATCTAAGTAGCAGGACTGTACCACACACAAGAATTAGAGCGTTCATATTCAAAAATTATGCATGTGGCATTATAGGAACACTGACTGATGCGCGAAATTTCCTTCCTTAGACCTAGAGCGTTCAAGTTTGGAAGGAATACAGCCCAAAAGATGAAAACACTGATCGTGGGTGGAAGAGGTGAGGGAGTAGTGTTACACAGCCAAGTTGGCGTAAGTGAGGAATGAACCGAGTAATAGAAGGCGCAGTTGACCTAAAAATAGTTACTTAGATTTCTCCCTAAAATCAAACTGTGACTCCCAATGGTAGCACGGAGACTGTCGAATCGAAAAACGACCTCGACACACGTTACAAGGGCTCCAAAATCAGCTTGGCTTACACATCAAAAAGTGACTGTGTCATGAAGGCTTTATGAAGGCTGCACTGTTTACAACGAAGCGTTAGGACGCCGACGAATGAGTATTTGAAAACTTTCATGAGTGAAGATGGATTTTCTCGTGAGTGGAGAATGACGAAGCGCTGTGTTTTCTTGCTGCAATTTTGTCAGTAAAATGATTTTGTATGGTTCCACTCTCGCAGCGCGGTCCTATTAAGGTGCTTCTTGAGAGGTATACTAATATTTGCAAATCATTCAATTGTGCTCTGATTGGGGTTGGGCCCAAAAAAGAACGGTAATTCTCGAAACTTTGGTATTTCATTATTGGAGAGTTCGACTAGCTTTCTTTGTAGTTCCAAACTTCTTTCTGACAAAAATGATGGTTTGAAACTTTTGGTTGAACACCTGAGATATCTGATATTACTGTATATTTGTTATCAGATAGGTGGAGGAATTACAAACGTCGAAGACATTGGCTACTTCTGTCAAAAGTAGCCCAAATAGTTTGTCCGCGTCCGTCTATTCTATAGCTGTCTTTGGCGGGAATAGCCATATCAGACAAAAGGTTACCTTCGCTGCGTCTCGGTGAGTGCGAAACGGTAGATGATGCTCACAAAGCCGAACAACGCAAGCCAAATCAAATACTGTATCCAAACAGCCTTCCATATGGATCCTTTCCATCTGAATGATGGCATATATAATGGAGACTGTGAGAGATGTCGAGCATGTCAACAAGTTGCACCAATTAAATGACTGGAGTAGAAATTGAACATAGAAAACTATCTTACCAATTTTACTCTATTCCCCATATGACCGCTTCTTCTTTCTAAATTACGTAGCAACGTGATGTCAGTAGAGAGGAGGATCAAACAAAACAGGAAGACTTCAAAAGAGTACTGGGTCACGAACTCCGTAATGGATCAGGCTATAACTCGACCTTTCGTCTCTTAAAGTTCCCGCGAGGACACTCTGCCACAGCTGCTGCGGTGAACATCGCCGCTTTTTTCAAGAAGGATGTTATCCATTCGATGATCGCACGAGCGCTCTGCTTCTGCACGAATCTAAATGGAAGACAGGCAGCGCACTGGTCGACCTTCGAAATGGAATGATCTCCTGGTAGCCGTTCGACGATGGCGCTCTGGCCGAAAAGACGAAGTGACTTTCTACTCCTCCATGACCCACGCCCACACGTGGTGAACGAAACACGGTCAAAAATATGGGATCTCTGGTAGGGAATCTGTTACATCCTGCTTACTAACTGAACTGGACCACGTGCTTTTTGCTTATCACTGTTGAAAGCACTGAAGCACCGCCGAGGGATAAGAAATCTGATTAAAGTCGTCAACTCGAAAAGGTCAGCCAAGTATTCTTGTCGCAGCTCTTATAATTCGAAGAGAGAGAGATCGAGAAGCTGATCGAAACATGGCCACATCTCCAGATAGATGACAGGTGTGTTTAACATATCGATTGAAGATCTTGCACAAAAAGCTATATAAATTCCGGGAACTCCATCTTCTTCCTTTCATTTCAAACTAATATATATGTACTTTTTTTTTATTTATTTTGATGCACGCAGCGGTGCGCTGAAATAAATATAGTGAATTAAAACATCAACGGCATAAACGAATCAACCTAACAACGCTTTGTCAAGATTTGTTCGCATAATAAGGAAGTAGTCAAACTCAAGTTCTGGCGAGAGGAATTCAATAGGCGGATGGCGCTAGAGATAACGCCACTCCCAGAGAGCATAAAATATGTAGATATACTATATGGAATCCGAAATCGAATTTTCGGATGTTAGGTGCTCTCTAGCCCTAACAATTCAGATTCAGACCCGCCCTTAATTCGGATTCGGCCTAGAGTGTTCATTAAGGTTCTCTCAAGATCTTGGTAGATAGTACTACACCGCAATCATTCGCTCTAAAGATATTCACCAAACGCGTAAGAGAAAATATGGGAAAGAACAGTTCATTTAGTGTCGCAGGAGCTGTGAGATAAAGGAAAAAGCAAAAACAAAACAAAACAAAACAGAAACCAAAAGACACACATATCACTGTCTCTTCTCTGAGTCGATGGATGTTCATTTCGGGAAGGAGGGGGTTTTGGAAGCAAGCTGACAATTATTGAAATTCTCAGAAGTCCGGTTGCCAAGAAGTAACAAGAGATCAATTTCTCTCAACTTTCTCTTGAAAACACCAACGCTTTGAGCTTCTTGTTCATCGAAGTATGTTCATCGACGTAGCCATTTGAGAAATGACTGGTTTTCAACGAAATTTCTAATAAACTCGGTATTCATGCCAACGTTTGAGAGAAGTGGGAAGGAATGAGTCGTGAGGTGAAATTGCATAACACTGAAGGAAACTATTCTATCGGCGGTATCGAGTGGTAAATATCCTATCGAAGATACAGGTCCCGTTGGTATTCTTACGAGTAATACAGACAACTAGTTTCATTTATGATACAGACATAGAAGACGGAAATGATGAATGAAACAAGGTTTTCACTTGAGTGAACAATGATAAGACGGACCTTCGATCATACACAAAAATTCTCTGAAAGCCAAACGATGGCATAACGGGAAGTTATCTAGAATGTAGTGCGGACTTGTTCTAAATAAAACCTAGAAATCGTTTGCTTGTGTCATCTTGTTGGAAGCTGCTGAACAAAAATTTCTAACATAGGATTGGACTCACAAGGTAGCCTATCGAACTCATTCCAGTTACCTACTCAACCTCTTTCGAGAACGGCGGTCACAACTTGACCCTGAACTTTTTCAAACAAGTGAAGTCTCCAACGTAGCCATCGGATTGTTTCTTTAGAGAAATAAAGCCATCTTTGAAGATAGCGAACCTGAAGAAGAGTCGCACGAATGTCCATGGACGTGACGTAGATACAGAGAGATTGTAGTTCACTGTCATTCCATTTGATGGTAGAGTGAATCAATGGGGTAAGGTTGCAACAGGTATAGTCTAGCAGTAGGGATTAACCACGACGAAATCAGATGCAAAGCCTCTCAGTCGGCCGATGAGATACACTAGCGGTAAAAAAACTCGCCGGAACTGTTTTTTTTTGTTAGTATTTCTCTCCTTGGTTGACCGATTCGTTCAAAAATTTTATATGTCATATGTAGCATTGTTACAAACAAAATATATACCTGCACTTTGTTCAAACATATTGCGGCGAGTAAAGGAATTGAAATGCACAGTAGAGCTTGCAAATCCCCGCATAATTAAATAACCATTTCATTCACGATACTGTAGAAAACTGCAAAAATCAAAACCGTAGCTACTGTGAAAAATTAATATCTCGTCGAGAAGCAACGTCTTTCGATGACTGCTGCGCGACAAGCTGGCACTGACCCGTGAGCTTCTGACGTATGGGCATGGCGTTCCATTCCTTGGCGAGTAAGCTTCTCATCACTGTTGCTGCATGGTTGCTTGCACCCTGTCTCTCCAACTATTCCCATAAGTTTTCGATCAGATTGAGGTCAAGAGATTGGTTCAACTAGTCCGAAATTCTCACTATTTTCTGCTGAAGGGCGACTTTCGCCGCATGAGAAGGTTTCGAATCACTGTCTTGCTGAAAAACCCATCCGGCTGTACCCTTTTGCCCAAGGTTTACGAGTGGTTCTTTGCCACGCGGTTGATACGACGATAAGTTCCGCCAAAATCCGTTGACCACATTCGTTTATTGGCGCTATGCGCGCAATCCTCAAACTCAAACTTGGGTAATTAAACCATAATACAATAATGACCATTGAGCAAAAGAAACAATCAATCACAATATAAGCCGACATTCTCAGAGAAATGGCACTGAGTGAGGAGGATAAGAGGATTCTGGGAAGATTCAGGTCTGAACTGAATCCGCCAGTTCAAGAGAAATCCGAAGCGCAAGGCGCACATTAATGGAGGGAGGAAATGAGCGCACGTCGGTCGCAGTTCCCATGGCTGAAGCTAACGTAGGGATTCAAGGCGGAGTCGCGGGGTTGCATGGGATTCCTTTTGATTTCTCCTATCTATATATACTGTTATTCTAAAAGATATGTATTATTGATAGGCTCAGTTTTGCTTTTCCTTTCTTTTTGCATTTCTCATGCCTTAGCGCATTCCAGTCTTCCCTGTCTTATGATTCACTAGGAATGGGAAATGATCGCGTGGAAAACGCGGTACTCCCGGCCCGAAAATGTAGAGAAATGGCGCAAGAAAATTTATGGGAAGCAGGTGCATATCATTCAATCTGAGCACTAGGGTTAACTTCGCGAATTTCAAGTGCGAATTCCGAAAAGAGCCAGTCTTTGTCGAAGATCCTCTAGTCTGGCCACGCATCTTCATCGGCCTTCGAGTGCTCTGATTTAATGCGAACGAACTTGCTCGCAATAGTCCGTTGGGGGACGTGCGATTCGTGCGCGGCAAATTGTGCGGCGAAATTCGCGATGATTCAAACGACTCCTGCGCCAATTATTGGAGCACAAACTTGAAGTAGAGTACTTTAGTAGGGTCGGACAGTCCTACTAACCTACATTACTTCAAATTTGGGCCCAAATGATAGACACTGCAGTCGTTCAAATCGCACCGAATTTCGCCGCGCAATTTGCCGCGCGCA